CATTTTAGTTTTGAAACCATTTTAATTTCTGGGAATTCATAGCAATTATATAATTGTTTAGGCAACTAAGACTCAGCTCCTGCTCAACAAAATTTTGTTGATCAATACATCAAAAGATCTGGAAATATATTTTAAATTATCATTTCTAATTTTAAGAATAGATTAGGTAATCATAATAATTAATATTATTATTATATCAAATAACAGTTTTAAATTCGCATGATATAAGAATATTAAATTAATATTTGACACGACTTACCTAGCAATAATGTAGTCGGCAATGGTTTTGAGGGTAGAGGGCTGTGGGCCGTTTATTATCTAACAACAACAATAAGTTATTTAAAACAAACAAACCGAAAAGACGAACACAGTTATTAATAATCTTCGCATAATATCGCGGCACTTTCGCTGGCGTCGACAAACGGTGTCCGGCACGATCCTCGGGCGTCAAAAAGTTAGCAGCGTTGTTGGTGACGGTGCGCGGGGTGCGGTTGGGTTCGTCGAGTCCGGTCGTGCGGCACGTCCGGAGCCGGTGGCGTACATCCTCGACGTTGTCACGTTGACAACGGGAAGAAGACACAACATATCATTTGCGGCGGGCCGTCGTCGACCGCGAGGCACTTGCTGGACTTTGCACCGTAGTGTAGGTNCGACCGCGAGGCACTTGCTGGACTTTGCACCGTAGTGTAGGTCAGTCAAATACTCATAATAGGGCGACGGCTGATAAAGGTGGCACGAGTACGGGGCATCGTGTATCACAAAGCGACGCGGACCATGTCATATATTAAGAGTTCTCTTAGAAAAAACTTTTGACAATATTTCCTGGACGTTTTTAAATTAAAAATGTTACTTATATATTTTCTTTATTTAAAGATTATTATTATTATCCAATTGTTTTTCATTAAATTACATTTTGGGATCAGTACGTCAAGTACTGATTAACAAAGTTTGTCAAGTACAAGGTTGCCTTAACAAGTATATAAATACTCGAAATTCTCAGCCTTGCATCGAGGCTAAAATTAACGAAATTTTTTTATTATTTGTCTTTATTCTGTTATTATAGATATTCTACATTGTTTTCTATATAATTTATACATAGTATTCATAATATCTATATATATTTGAATATTTTTATAATTAAATAATTTATATATTGTAATAAATATAATTTTAAATATTTTAATTTAATTAAATATTATAATAAAAATTATTCAGTGTTTTTCAGATTCAGTTATTATAAAAATAATTTATTAAATAATAAATGTTAAAATTATTTAATATATTTAATATATTTCACAATTATATTACTTTCATTTGTGTTGTAATAAAAAAACATTGTTTTATAAAAAATACAGTTTTTATAAAAAAAAATTTCTTGGGACAAAGAATATAATAAAATCATAAATCAATCTTTACAAAAAAAAATATTGTAACTTGATAATTCATTGAAACTTAGAGACTTGCGTTTAATATTTACTTAATTTATTTTCAAGTTATGTATTAAATTTTAATGATTAAAGTGTATTTTTTGTTAAGTATTAAACTAAAAATAATACACTTTCATTAATTGAAAGCTTTTTTCCTTTTTAGGGCTTATTATTGCGTTTAAAATAAAACGTTTTAGTGCTATGCGTTGTTTATGGCCTGATAATTAGCTAAAAATAGTCTTTAAAAAACTGAAATCTATCGTTTGAAAAAATTTCTAATACATCTTATTCGTTAAATACTTTCATTACATGTATGTGAATACTCCTATAAATTTTTAGCTTCGATGCGAAGCTGAGAAGGTATTAATTTTACTATGATGTGTTTTTTTTTTTATTTTTTTATTTTTTATTTTTTTATTTATTTTTTTGTGTCTGTGAACGCTCAATCTCAGCTCTCGCTGGACCGATTTTGATGAACANTTTTTTTTTTTGTGTCTGTGAACGCTCAATCTCAGCTCTCGCTGGACCGATTTTGATGAACAATATGTCAAAAGATCACAAATCGTATCTAGTCGAAGACATTACCCTCAAAAATTGAAAAAAATTCCCTCGTTCTCCGTAAACGGGGGAAATCCCCCAAAAAATTACAAATTTAAAAATCGCTAATTTTCGATAATTTTTCATTTTTTTTTACTTAAAATTGCCATAACTTTTTTAAAAATGATCGAATCAATATAATTTTTTTTTTTATAGATATCTTAAATA